CCTAACATTAATGAACTTTAAAGAATTTTACATAATGATCGGCAACATGCATAACCGAGCACAGATTATAATCTTGCAATTAGCTGCAATTATTCTTTTTGAGTCATTGCCACATCTATATTGTTAATTAACAAAAGAAATAACATTCCATTAGAGGAAATGTATTACTTATTTTGCAGTGATTGTAACTGGATTGTATATAACAGATAGTTTTCTACCAGGATTTTTCCGTTGATGAAAGATCTTTTTACTTTATAGATCGTTTCATTGGTGAAGGGAGCTACTTAGTTTATATATATATATATATATATATATACAAGTGTTTGTTTTTATTTAATAAATTAAGAGAGAAAATTTTTATATTTAATCAGAACAATTATGAAAATTCGTTCTTTCTATAAGTTCGTGATCCTTTATTTATATACCTTTTTCATATTAGTTGTGAACAATGGGGTTTTTAGCCAGGACTGTGGGATGAATCAATCACCACGACCAAATACGATTGTCGGATATTACCCAGCTTATAAATATAATTTAAAATCAAATGATTTTAATATCAGTTCGTCAATTACTCATTTAAACTATATTGGTATGTTTTAAAGATTTTCAATCATTATAATGGATTAAATTTAATGAATATTATTGGGTGTAAATTCTTGTAGCATTTAGCCCAAATGATCTTATTAATGTCACTAGACCATATACAGTTTTTCAGAATCAGCTCGATAAACTTAATCAATTGAGAAATTATCTTGTTGGAAAACCTAATCTGAAATTTCAAGTGAGCAATAAATGCTGAATATATGTCAAAGTACTCATTATAATGACTAATTGGCTATTTATAGTTAATCCTTTCAGTCTTGTTGCCTACTAATGAAGACTTAGTAAAAATCCCCCCGTTTTCTGATCTTGCATCTATGCTGTATAATCCAAATCATAATATTACTGATGATTTAGTTAAAATCGTTAACGACAATTCATTTGATGGAGTAAGTTCAACAAGTTTTATCTTCTTTTATATCATTTAATGATGATTACGTTAATTACATTTTAACTTTAGATTGACATTGATTATCCTAATAAGCTTCCATGCTATCAAATGTCACAACCACAAAATTTCGGGTCTGAGGATTTAAATCCTGTGTTCATATCTTTTCTAGCTGATTTATCAAGTAAATTAAGACAATCCAATAGCAGTAAGATTTTAACGGTCACAGCGGGCCAGTATCCTATAGATAGTCTTAATTCCAGCAATTCTGATATCATTAATTTTGTGAATATTCAGGTAGGATTTAATTCTACTTTTTAAAAAATGATGTTAGAAACCCTTATTGTCCTAAGTGTAGTAAAGGACATTTTACTTCAAATTACACAATGTCCGTTTATATACATTATATACACGTGTAGGACTGACTACGTAATAAAATCGTTCGATCATTTAATCATAATATTGTGCATTAAACTATTTTATTTAATTTCCTTATAAAATTTTAGGCATTTTATCTTAATATAGGTAATAAATCTGCGAGTGCAGGAATAGACAATATTCAGAGAATTTTTAATGCTTGGAATAGTCACGTCAGTAAATCAAAACTCGTTTTGGGAATCGATTTTGGTGGTATTGTAGAAGTTGTTAATTCTAGTAACATTATAGCGGACACTAATAATCAAAACCTTCAGGTTGTAAATGACCTAACTACTCAAATCTCATTCGCTGATGATAAGATTCAAGATTTATGCGGACTTTCAGTATATGCATCTTGGTCGTGGAAAAATTTGAGTTCTCAATTATTATCACCTTGTTATACAAGCACCAATAAACATTCTCAATGGAATTATGGCTTTGATAATAAATCCCAACAGCCATATATTTACCAACAACAACCGAACTCTCCTACACGATTCTATTATGTTTCTTATGAAGATTTTCAATCAATAAAATCCAAACTTGATTATGTGCAGGAAGTTAATGCACTAGGAATTGCAATTTCTGATATCACCAAAGATACAAACGATGCAACATTAATGAACTTCATAACAACAGATGTTATTAATCCACCTAACTCATCTTCGAAGCCAACGCCTACATCCATATCATCTACACCTCGGTCATCTCCGTCCCATATAGGTGTAATAGTGGGTGGTATAATAGGCGCTTTGATTTTTGTTAGTGTGTTAACGGCAGCTGGCTTTATATTATATCGAAGAAAACACCGTGCAAGAATGCCGGCTTTACTCCTAAACACAAATAATCAGACGTGTTCTGATACAAATAATAATGTTTACTCTGATATAAATCATCAGGTTAGCTCAGATACGGATAATCAGATTTACTCAGATACAAATCATAAGGTTTCCTAATGGACGCTGATAAATCACATCGCGGCGGATTGGTGGAATTTGATTTTTTTTTTTTTAATTACCCTAAATTTATAAGACAGGCCTTTATTTGATATAAAAGCTAGATCTTTCTAGTTAAATTTTGTGACTTAAATTAAGGTCAATTCCGCAAATCCACCGCGATGACATCACCGGTGTTCAATAACATAAAAAAAATCATATGTACATATACAATTTATTTTTGAAACTATCCTTCACGTTTTAATAAAAAAAAAAAAAAGTTCAAACATAAAATTTTGGTACAAACTATATCTTGCACCAAGAGCCGGAATATTTCGAAATCAAAATTTCAATCAAATATATCTCGACAACTACTGAACCAAATATGATGAAAATGTTTTTTATTTGAACTCTACAAATCTGTGGAATTCATAAAAATCTTTATCAAATTTAGTCCAATGGTTGTCGAGATATATTTGATTGAAATTTGATTTCGAAATATTTCCGGGTTCCTGTCTTGCACTTAACTCTAATATTATTAATAAATTTTGGCAATTCAATATGATCAATCGGTCAGCATTCTTATTACTGTATTAGTCAAATAGACTAACGCATCCAAATTTCATGTAAAATTTAAAATTGTATTTATTTCATACTTAAAATATAAGATTTGTAAAATTTTAAATAATAATTCTTTTTTATTGTTTCTTTATACAAAGTTTGAGTAATAATAATAAACTTGAAAAAAAATCTTGATCTCAAAATTAAACACTCCTTGACTATATTCAATACGGCGGATTTTTGGAATCTAGTCTTTTTAAATCTCCTAAATTTAATTAGATTTAAGGTTTTAAATACAAGACTAGATTTTACGAATCTGAAATGCGATATTTAAATAAAGGTCCTTTATAAGATCAAATTCCAAAAACCGCCGTATTGTATTTAAATCACTCTATAAATATTATAATAATATACTGTATGATTGGTTAAATCAAATTATATATAGGTATATACCTACAAGTTGTTACTGACTGAGTTTAATTCGAACTTGTGATTATACCATAACACAAGGATAGTGAAATTTCGCCGATGTGAACGGATACGTAGGCGGTTATCTTCAACGATTTTATTTATTTTATTTATCTTATTTATTGATTCAGTTTATCGAGTCTCAATAATTTAGGATACATATGGGCCGATTTAAGTAATTTATAAGTAGAGCTTATTTTTTTTTAATAACTTTAAAGCTAAATAGCTTTTGATTTATTGGTCCATTTTAAATGATTTTACTACCAAATTGTTCGTCTCTTTGAGACGATTCCAACGAGCTCAAAATCATTAAAATCTAATCACAAGATCGTGAGAAAATGCACTG